TGTGCCCACCGTCACCCACCCTGACCTTCTCCCCACGGGCAGGAGGAGCAGCACCGCTCCCACGAGGCGTGGATGGAGCGGGTGGCCCAGGAGCTCTACGAGCATCAACGCAACCTCCCCGAAAAGCGGGGCCGAGCCCGCGACCTGGACGAGTACCGCCTGAAGAAGGAGTATCTCCTCTACGAGGTGAGACAGATGAATCGCTAATTAATTTAATTATACGGCACACCCAGGGAGATGGAGAACATGGGGACATCCCCGTGGTGGTGGCTCATCTCCAGCCTTATCTTCCCCATGGCAGAGACGCCGCTGTGGGACATGGGGGACACCAGGGACATGGGGGACACCGGAGATGTCCCCATGGTGGTGGCTTATCTCCATCCTTATCTTCCCCATGGCAGAGATGCCACTGTGGGACATGGGGACACCAGGGACATCCCCATGGTGGTGGTTCATCTCCATCCTTCCCCAAATGGCAGACATCACCATGGGACATGGGGGACAGTGGGGGCATCCCCATGCTGGTGGCACATCTCCATCCTTATCTTCCCCACGGCAAAGATGCCGCTATGGGACATGGGGGACACCACAGACCCAGGGATGTCCCCATGGTGGTGGCTCATCTCTGCTCCTACCTTCCCCATGGCAGAGATGCTTCCGTGGGACATGGGGGACACCAGGAACATGGGGGACACCAGGGACCTGGAGACATCCCCATGGTGGTGGCGCATCTCCATCCTTATCTTCCCCATGGCAAAGATGCCGCTATGGGACATGGGGGACACTGGGGACATGGGGACATCCCCATGGTGGTGGCTTATCTCCATCCTTATCTTCCCCATGGCAGAGATGCCACTGTGGGACACAGGGGATGCTAGGGACATGGGGGACACTGGGGACATGGCGACGTCCCCATGGTGGTGGCTCATCTCCATCCTTATCTTCCCCATGGCAGAGATGCCACTGTGGGACACAGGGGATGTCCCCATGGTGGTGGCTCATCTCTGTTCTTACCTTCTCCATGGGGGGAATGCTTCTATGGGACATGGGGGACACTGGGGACATGGCGACGTCCCCATGGTGGTGGCTCATCTCCATCCTTATCTTCCCCACGGCAGAGATGCTTCTATGGGACATGGGGAACATGGGGACGTCCCCATGGTGGTGGGTCATCTCCATCCTTATCTTCCCCACGGCAGAGATGCTTCTATGGGACATGGGGAACATGGGGACGTCCCCATGGTGGTGGCTCCTCTCCATCCTTATCTTCCCCACGGCAGAGATGCTTCTATGGGACATGGGGGACACCGGGGAGGTGGGGACGTCCCCATGGTGGTGGCTCATCTCCATCCTTATCTTCCCCATGGCAGAGGCGCCGCTACGAGACCTACGTGCAGGTGCTGGAGACGTGGATCAGCGCCGGCGCTCAGGACCTGGAGGGGTGGGAAGCCCAAGCGGGGCCAGCGGTGGCCCCCCCGGACCTCCCCACCCTGACCAAAGCCCACTCCAGCCCCTCGCTGGTCCCCGAGCCCCCCATCGCCCCCACCATCCGCGTCAAGAGGAACATCTCCGAGCGCCGGACGGTGAGGAAGATCGTCCCCAAACGCAACAAGAACCTGCTGTGATGGACATGGGGGGGGGGACGGGCCAGGACATGGGGACATTAGAGCTTGGAAGAAGGCGGGGGGGGGCG